GGACAGACCAAAATTACTGCATTTTGACAGACCACTGGGAGGCGAAAGGAACATACGCTTGCTTCCTTTGCCTTGAAAATCGAGGCGAAGAGAGCAAGGTAGAAAGTCAATTGATTAGAAGAGAGTGACCACAACATAAGAACCAAATATAGTGTCAAGAAATACCGATGACGTCAGACTCGAAGTTGAGCAGGGAAATTTACAACTCATCCGTGATCTTGCTCCGTCTATCTTCGCCTCGCTTTTTTCGGTTACATCCATTCCTCTTGAGTCTGTCGATCCCAGTTGGCTTGATTTTTACATCACCTTCAGTTTTCAGTCGCATTCAGTTCAGTTTAGAGTTCCTAGCTTCCTCAATCCCGATGCGTTGACCATGAAGTTTGATGTGAAAAATCAATCGCGCCTCCAGCGGATGATACATGTCCTATTTACAGCCACTGTTTGTTGCCGCCTCGTAGCTCTTACAGGTGAGTCAAGCCATTGATTATGGTACTGGAAAAAGCTGTTGTCAATGCCACCGATAGTCCACCAAAAAACTTAAAACGGTGCACTCGAGAAATACACTCAGTTGCAAATCAATTTGGCTTTCACGGGAGACTCAATTGAATCTCTCGTTTATGATGTCCTCCAGCTGAATGTGCTGCACACAGGCCTCCTCATGATTCAGTTGGCACGATATTCGAGATATCGCGGTATATTTTCATACAGGGGGGGGCGAGATGGCTCAAGTGGTTAGAGCGCGAATTTACTGACCGGAAGGTCCGTGGTTCGAACTCGACCTCCGCCACTCGACTTCCCCTGTCTAGGCTTGGGCAACCTGACAGTATCCCAGCCCTCGTGCTTCCTTCGGGTGGCATGGCAGCTAGGCACCGAAAGGGCGCTACATCTGAACGATTTATATTTTTATTTTACAGGGAAAATAACCACAAGAGTTTACAGCAACCTTGTGAGTAGTTTCCTTTATTAGAACGATGCAGTTCGGTTACGAGTTAGAAGGCGCATTCGTTTCGTTTCTTGACACTATGTAAACGTCACACTACATTGAAAGAGAGGTGACAATAGAGCATGTCACTAGAGGCCGGAAAAAAAGTTTAAAAGCACAGTGATTATTATTTGGAAAAAAACGCCTCAGAGAGAAATCCCCACACAAGCGGACGCTTTCCTTTGGTTCCCATTTTTGCATCATTGATCCTCTGTTGAGGGAACACCGCCCGAGGCAGCGCTCGACCAGACGTGAACTTATGTGGATAGCTTCCATCACCGACCGTTTTGATCACCGAAATTTATCACACACGACCAGGGTTTCATACTTCCCGTACTCAAATACGACTTAAGTAGACGAATCTTGGGTTCCGAGCTCAATATTTTCGTTTAAAATGTGGTCTTCTTGTGGCTTCATGTACAGTAGCTATTATTTCCCAACTCATTTTGGCCATTCCATGGCTGCAATTTACATGAACTTGCTTGCCCTTGCATATTCCCTGAATCTCAAAAACTATATTAAGACTTCGAAAAAAATCCTATGGATTTTACCATATGGGGAGCACCTGTGGGAGTGAATATACTTTCATTGGGCCCAGTAGATATACAGCCGTGCTAGAGGAGGGGTCGGTGCACGGAGGTTTGCTGGAAAAAGGAAAAACGTCATTTTGCTGCGTACCGGAAACGGAATTAGGTCCGTCAGCGGTACATTGTATAGTGAAGTGCTTGTTCAAGAAGCCACATTCGTTTTCAGTATTTAACACCGTCGTGGAATCGTTTTGAATCGCATACATCGGATTTGCAGTTCATCTTATAGTATGCGGTATGTTCAAGGCGGAAAGTCACGTGAGATAGCTACATTGCGAGGATGACAGGTGGACGGTCAACTCAAGGGGTTCGATTCGATGACGCACCACTTGTGGCTAGTGATAACGATTGTTGGCACGTACATCTTCAAGCGACGGATATCGGTCTGGCTGTCTGGTCTGGTTGGGAGATGCAAGCAACCACGACTTAAGTAGAAAACAATTTCCCACGGATTTTGCTGCGCTCGTGGGTGTCGCCTATAAAAAGAAGTCGTGTTTAAATGCATACACGAACGCTTTAATGGTAAGCATCGTAACAGTACACGATTACCCTCACTCCCACTCCCAGAGATCGGGCATCCAACTACACCGAATGAATTCAAAGCAAAAGTCAAAGAAAGTGGACAAAATCCTAGCACACACACACACACATCTTTTGGTATCATGGGCATAAACAGAGCCATCACGTGTTGTTTACGCACTGGCTGCACAACTGGAGCAGGTCAACAGCTCGGAACGGTAAACAAGACCTCGCCATAGTGGTTTGTTTACGAGATCGGTGTCCTTAACCAGAACATGAATCGATGTTTAAATAACTGCCCCGTCATTTAGTCGAACAGCTATCAGTTTGGTGCCTCATCGCAGTTTCAACCGCTCATCTTATCAAGCACTCTCCAAGCCAAGGTCGTTGCCGTGGCTATGTTGCTGTTTTGTGGACAGTACGGATTTCAAAGCCCTGTAAATAACTAGCGTGCACCGACAGAGTAAGTGCACAACCGGCTTGCAGCGGGGCATAAGAGATCATGTTCAGGCTAACAGTTATGGTTCCAAGGCTTAGAGACCACTTGTAAAAGCCTACCTGCTTGCATCGACCCCTCGTTTGACTCGAATTTTATGGTCACTTATCAATGGTTCTAAAATTATAGGTGGTCTGAAATGAATTAGGAAAGTTGGGTAACCTTCGCAGTAACCGTGCTCAAAAAGCGTTACACTCTACGATGGAACACAATTTCTCTCATTCGTCTGTGAGAAGCGCAGCGAAAATAACGTGTGTCATTGGTCTGCAGAAATAAGTCGAATAGGCATCGTGGACATGACAGCGAGATGGAAAGATTTTTGAATTAGTATACCTCAGAGGAAACAGTCATAGCAAACATCATACACAACAAACACTGTGAGCTTCATGGAGAAAAACTTATGAAATCCAAAGAATTTTACTAGATTTTCCGAACGATGACCATCTGCCATCTACATCAAACACGTCACAGGCCTAAAGACAGTTTTAAAGCAAAAATAAAATTATCGCAACACATCCTTATTCAACAAAGCAGGGCATTTGGCGAAACGATGGATAACTGTTAGTAGACTGAAAGTCTGGTGTGGTTAGACAAAACAGACGAGAAGTTACCGGAAAAGACTTGTGGCATTCACACCTCCACCCGTCCTGATTAGTTACAGTGGGGGCGAGATGGCTCAAGTGATCAGAGCGCTAATTTACTGACTGGAGGGTCCGTGGTTCGAACTCGACCTCTGCCTCTCGACTTCCCCTGCCTAGGCTTGGGCAACCTGGCAGTAGCCCAGCCCTCGTACAACCTTCGGGTGGCATGGCAGTTAGGCACCGAAAGGGTGCTACAGCTGTACGATTTTTTTTTAGTTACAGTAAAAACAGGTGAACAATGCCCCTTGAAGTTATCACAGCCAGTGGTAATTCCCTTATCCCAAATGGACTTCTGAAGAAGTGGTCACAGCGGGGTCACAGGAGGATCCCAGAAACAAAAGCCCCTGCTCGACAGGACAAACTATATAAATAATTAACCCGCATCACTGAGTACTGTATGAACATGGGACACGTTTCCTTCTACGGCTGGAAAATCCCACGAGTAACCCTCAACTACTTTTATGGCATGTCGTTAAAATTCTACTACGGCCTTTTCGGCTCCTTACGTTTGACCGGATGGAATAAATAAATAAATCTCTCAGCTGTGACACCCTTCCAGTATCCAGCTGCCATGCTACCCGAAGGAAGCACGAGGACTGGGTGCTACCAGGTTGCCAAAGCCTAGACAGGGGAAGTGGAGAGGCGTGGTGTAAAATGCATGTCAGCGCGACACCAAGGTTTTGCCATGCCCCCACCGGAGCAAAAAAGTCATGTGAACAGTAAAACAGCCAAGCAAACAGACCGACCAATCTTGAAATTCTGTATGCTACACTCACTGAAGCGGCAAGTTATTTTTGGAGATGAATGGTATGCTAAAGGACATCCTAAACTGAGGACAACGCGTAGCCAAGCCTAGTTGCAATCGATTTTCCAGTGAAAGCATATTCACGGGAATTGCAAGTTTCCACACGTCGGATGTGGCAGTGGTTAAATTATTCAATTCGGACTGGGTAGCGATATGTGGGACATATACACTTCACCTTGATATCGGTTTGTTCATGTTTCTTCTCAGCTGTTCGCGTCGTTCGTCTGTTGATTTCCCGTACAGTCTAGGGCTCCAATCGATCTTCTACGGGTGTGGCTCTATATCGTTCGCGAGAATAAAGCAACGACGATCTAGTGGGTGGTCAACCGATCAATATCTTAGTCTTATTTCTACTACTGGTTTGGATGGACAGAACTAACCCAGACCAATGGCAGGATTGCAGAAAATATTGGTCAGCTGATGACCACTGTTTTATTCTTGCTAATGCAGTCCGCGGTCGCAGACCTTCGGAGGTCATTTGTAAAGTGCACGAACGACTTACTAGTGTGCCGACTACGTTGGAATCACGAGAAAGCGACCAACGAACAAAAGGCTAACGAAACCGTGCACGCCACCAGGAGTCAACATTGAATTGGACAGGAATGCTCATTCGGAAACTAAATGAACTTTCGCCAAGTGAAGCACCGTTCGTTAACCGACTGGGTCAGTGACCTTTCAGACAGAATATTATCAAAATTAGAACTTAGCAGCGGTGACAACCGTAGTAAGTTTGAAGCCATGGCGGCGAAAAACTCCGCAACTTGTGATTGATGATCGTCATGTTTTTTTTGTAAAAAAAACCTTCGGGTAGATATACTCTGACCAACTCCACAAGTTAGAGATTTATAGGAATAAAAGCCACTATGCACGATGAATTGACGTCTTTTCTCGGAAAACGAATACCATGGGAGATACGATACTGTATACTTGAGTGAAACCTGGGTCCCACGAAAACGTTGCCCTTACTTACCCGAAAACTCTGCCAATCAGAGAATTACCCATGGACGTAGAAGTGGGATGATACCCGCCGACTGTCAGGGACGAAGAAACGGGGGGAGGGGCCGGATAAGAGGTGAGACTAGTCGCAGATTGCTTCTGGTCAAAGTTGTCGGCGCGATTAACTCCCTCGCGAACCTGAGACAGGAGGGCCAGCTGAGTGGCTGGGTCCCATTGTGAAAGCAGAGCAGCGGCGCTATTCATCCGAGAGGATGAATGTAGCAGACTTGCTGCGCGTGCCACAGCGGAGATCGTCGAATAATCCAAACTGGGTAGCTGAGGCTGTTGTGATGCAGGATGCTGCAACGAAGTCCCCCAGCCTCCCTTGCTAACGAGTCCTTCAGCGGAACCGCTCAGACGACGATGTGGTGATTGCTGTTGGGTGCTGGGTGTGGTGGAAGAGGAATAAATTGGCGCTTGTGGGGTCACTAGTCGCGGACCAAGAGTAGTGCGAGGTGCCACTCGGTTCGCATCGATTGTGCTTGATCTGGGTACCGAAACTTGATATACAAAGTTGGAGGGACTGGTGGTGCGAAATACTTGCGGGAAATCCGTTGAACTAGGTCGGCTAGAGGGCTGGGAGGCACGCAAGGGTGGACTGATCTGTGCCCCTGGACCTTCGTTGGACCCTGCTCTAGCACCGATATCAGAGCTTTGCCCAGTCAAACTGTTATGACTAGTACCTGAATCGTAGGCACTTTTGTTAGTGTTGTTGCGTTTTTCCAAGCTTTTGGTATATTTTTCAATATACTCCTGCGGTAGTATGTGCAGCAACAAGCCAGACTGCTGCAAAAGCTCGGGTGAGTTAGTAATGGCTGCAATCAAATTGGAGGATAAGTCGTTGCGATTTATGGGTGTTGTGCTGGGTCCTGATACCTCATTGCAAACTGATGGACGGTTGGATGGGGTTTGGGGTTTTGAACCCAGCTGGGAACTTTCAACAGGATTGGAGCGTGCGGGAGTCAAGTGAGCATTTATGGAAACAGGGGGCACATTGTCCCCCGAATAGGAATGCGCTGATGGAATCTGGTTATTCATCTGATTGGCAGCTGGAGGTGTTGGTAGCCGGGGTTGTAGTCTCGCCCCCGGACTTGATGAAGGAGGATGAGAAATCCACTGACAGTTGGGGGAAGTGGCTGTTGGCAGTAGCACGGGAATGGGCGGCTGTCCCGTAGCATGGATGGCAGCGGTCCACCGTTTCTTTTTATGCAGCATGTTGAACTATTCCACAGTATCGGTATGGCGTGAAATCGAGTAAATGAGGACGCATGAAAACGATGACGAGCGCGGTAGGGAGATATTTCACTCACAAAACATCCGAAATGTGCCTTGCGTGAACATTCCTGTGGGCAATCTAAATCACACAAATTCACCAATTTCTGCGGTTAGCCTGAGAAAAACCGGGTTATTCAACATGCAGCTGCGAGGCAAACACCGGTCGACCTTCAGCAGAAACGATAAACGTGTCCGCCACACAACGCGTAAGGCGCGATCGGCCTATAGGCAAGTCGGGTGCTGGTGATTCATCTGAACAGACCAAGCAAATCAAGCCAATCAAACGACGACATGAGCAACCAATCAGCTGGCTGTTGCGACGAGTACAGCCTGTACGGCAATGGCGACCGAACGGATGGAAATACATATGCATTCCAACGCATGCGTAGTTGTGATGACATGAAAACTTTCTATATAGTAAACACAAATGTCCTAGCCATTTTATAGCACCTAATTAAAAAATACGTCAAAGGTGTTTACTGTTTACATCCACCGAATGAAAGGGATAAGAAAGCCACTGCACCCAATTATTATGTTATTATCATTATTCTTATGTCGGCTTTTGACAGCAAACGGCTCCAGGTTCCGAGTACAGCAGTGTTATTATGTTAGTTTTAACAGCATGTATGGTGCCTAGATTATGGAGAAGTGTAAAACAGACAACCCTTGAAAATTCACGAAATACTCGAGTGTTCTCTCAATTTATGCCTTGACATCCGTTTGGAGCATTCACACATCGGCGGCGCAGCTGATTGCTGACATCCTCGAGTGAGAGGCAGATAAGAGTACTCACAGAAAGTCCCCTTGACTGTTTACATGACTTAGGTTGAAGTTGGAGACTTTCGACTCCGAGTATTCGAGCAAACGTCTCACTTTCGAGATAAGGTCAGGGTAATCAAATGAGCTGTAAATAACGTGCCCAAAATTTAGGAAGTTTCGGGTGTTCTTGTCTGTGACCACAACAGTGCTCAAAACTATGAACGTATGGCAGAATAAATTATTCAAGCTTGTGCCAGTTCAGTCGATTTCTGAGTATACGTATCAGACTATACGGTATGAGTATTGCGATTGATTGAAGTTGAAAAAACAACAACTTACAGAAGGTTGTCAACATAGATTGATGGAACGTGAATCGAGCCACTGATTGTCTTTTACTCTGCCGCAACCCTTCGGAAGAGACGCGATATTGATTCCTTCCTTCTATTTCTACCCTGTAAAACAAGATTCCTTGTTTGGTTGTTTCCGCTTTGTGATTGAATCTCTTTTACTTGTTTTTGGCCCGGACTTCAACCGTTCTTTGACTTTGGCATCGCGCGCCTAGTTCAATACAGCCACATGGACTTTATTACCTTGTGGCCAGTCTATCGTGAGCCAGTGTGAACTTTGTGTAGGTGTATTGTCTCCTACCTATTTATTCTTTTCTACAAGACACCATTTGGAATCGGCGTTACCTGACCTCGTGTATAGAAGCCGGCACAAGTCCACAATTTGAAGTTTGTACCATCATGCTATTATTATATTCATGTTCATCCATTTGTTGATAAACCTCAGTTTGAAGGATTCGACTCTGGGAGTTTTTGACGAACTCAACTGACTGCCCAACTGACTGTTGGATATAATTAATAGGGGGGTTGACATATCCTAATTGTCGTACGCAACGTTCTGAGCTCACCTGTTAAGTTTCCCCCATACACATGAGGAATTCTACTATTTACGTTGGTACGCGCGGGCTTATTCCAATACATTTTCACGCTGGAAGGGGAATTTTAATGGGTGGTATTGTATTACCATCCGATGTACGAAATGGAGTATGATTTAGGGACACTGAACTAAATTCAGAGCCCAATTTGGTTGAAGGTTGGGTGTCATGTGTCTACCTAGGTAGTTATCGAAGCGGCAGAAGTTATTGTTAGCTTTGCCTTGCCTGACATTCACTCGACAACGTGGAGGAGTATGAAAGGGGTATTCAGTCACTCCTTGACATGCCTGATCACTGGTATGGACGAATATCTCAGGGACTAATCGGATCTCTGATTTGGGCCGTTCATGTGGAGTGTCCCAGTAGTGCCAAAATGAACTGACGACTAACTGCGAGACATGTCACTCCGGTTGAATCGATGTTCTTAGATTAACGTGCCTAAACCAAGCAAAGCCTATCAACTAAGAAGTAGGACGCTTCTTACTGAACAGATCTAATTATCTTCACAAAAGACGGAAAGAAATTGAAGTTTGTTTCAAAACTCCATCCCTCGCGTTCATCTGATTGACTAGTTCAAATTTTCGTCATAGGTGAGAACCAGACTAACCTTTGGCTAAAATAAATTGGCAGTTGGGACGAACAGAAAAACGAACACGAAGCCGTCTCGCGAGGCGCAAAATCAGACGGTTGTCCTGCATTTTGGTCACTGTCTGCACACGCTGTTGGAATGAAGCAGCGGTCGATTTTCTACTGCTGTTTTCGGCCCAGATAAACAGCGTTGCGTACAGACACACAGCCGTACGGCTGTGGGACTGTCGGACTTGCCAGTGCCCTGCTGTGTCGGCTACTGCTAGTAGCGTAATGTAAGTGCCTCCGATCAGGACGACGCAATCCGGCGTTTGTCAAAGAACCGGTACAAGCACGAACGAACGGACAAACGAGCAGACAGCTGGACGAACGAAAAAACAAGCAAGAAAGCAAACAGGTAAACAAACAGGCAAACGAGTGAATGAATGAATGAATGAATGAATGAATGAATGAATGAATGAATGAATGAATGAATGAATGAATGAATGGATGGATGGATGAGTGAATGAATGAATGAATGAATGAATGGATGGATGGATGAGTGAATGAATGAATGAATGAATGAATGGATGGATGGATGAGTGAATGAATGAATGAATGAATGAATGGATGGATGGATGAGTGAATGAATGAATGAATGAATGAATGGATGGATGGATGAGTGAATGAATGAATGAATGAATGAATGGATGGATGGATGAGTGAATGAATGAATGAATGAATGAATGGATGGATGGATGAGTGAATGAATGAATGAATGAATGAATGGATGGATGGATGAGTGAATGAATGAATGAATGAATGAATGGATGGATGGATGAGTGAATGAATGAATGAATGAATGAATGGATGGATGGATGAGTGAATGAATGAATGAATGAATGAATGGATGGATGGATGAGTGAATGAATGAATGAATGAATGAATGGATGGATGGATGAGTGAATGAATGAATGAATGATTGAATGAATGAATGAATGAATGAATGAATGAATGAATGAATGAATGAATGAATGAATGAATGAATGAATGAATGAATGAAGAATGAATGAATGAATGAATGAATGAATGTGTATAAATTAACTCGAAGTTGGATGACAAGGACAACCTGTATGAGAATCATAAGCTTTAAGAATTTAGAAAGTGAGTGGTAAATATGAGCGTTCACATAGGCTTAGAAAAATCTGGTATGCGAATGACATTAAAGGAAGGTAAACAAATGAATCACATGCGTCGGTTGACGCAAGCATAGAAGAATGCCGCATAATAAAATTTCTTCATGAAATATCGCTCACTGCATTCGAAATCAACTTCGTAGTAAATTCAGTGAATTTAAATGATCTTCCCAAACAAACTTAACGGGTTGCAATCAGCGTTGACGAAACGGAATTCCATTGTGGACAACCTTTACGGGCGTCAACTGGTCACAAACCTGGTTAAGATAAACACTCATTTGCTAATTAAATTGATTTTGATAAGATAGCGGAATCACATCAACATCTTCCCCTTATAGCGGCTTTTCAACTTAAAGTGCTGCTTACATTTCGCCACGTTTCATTTGAGTGATACTCAATTTGTTGACACTGATTAAATGGTTGATTGAAATCCTAAACAGTCCATAACCGTTTGCCTACCTTGGGGCTCACCAGATCCACCAGTGATCCAGGTGGATTTCCGCACAATCATTCATCGACTGCAAATCATTTTGCGGCCGCATAGTTACAAACCGGTGTTCAAATGTTTCATGAGGATCCGGAACTGGGTTTACCTAATGAACCCTAAGAAGAGTGCAACCTGTAGCTGACTGTCCGGAGTTTCCCATGGTCCTATAACTTGCACTACAAACCTTACTACACCTTGAAAGAATGTGCATATATGCATCTTGGAAGGAGTAATTTCCATGAAGGAGAATGGCTGCCCTGGCACTAGGAAATACAGGGACCCCTCTTTGAAAGAAACGTCATTTGGGGGACCGCCTGCTTGGCAGTTAGGTCTCGAACGGAATCAGGATAAAACAGAGCTATGAAAAGCCTTCTTGCTTAACTTAAGTATCACGATCACTAAGCTTGTGTGCTGTCGGCATTTTGGAAGAATTGTAAGTCATGTGTGCATTTTTTCAAGTTATTCTTCCGCGATTCTGAACAAAAATACTTCCTTACGTGGGTCAGGTGCTGTCAGCGTGTAAGCTTCTTGACTCCTCTATTGTTTCGCACTAAATGCCAAACCTGAAATTTTTATGCTATCACCGCGTTTGTAAACTTTATATTGCTTTATCCCCGTTCGCATGGGAGTAAAGCCGCCAACGGTTTTGTCTAGGAACAGCAGTTTATGGGAGTGGGGGTTAGGGGGCTCCGTCGGTACCGGTGCCTCTCGTCTCAGCACAGATCCAGTAACTGATATTGAGCTGCGTTTGACTACCGATTCATCATCAATATCCACATGTTTGTCTGGTTTGTGTCTGCTTTATCGAACAAGCTGGATAAGGTCAAGGCCACAGAAAAATTGTTAGCCGTATGTACCAACCAGTGTTTCGTTTTACAGTTCAAATGTTTGTCGTCTGACCGCTGAAGGATTTCACTAACACAGTGAATTCACATTGCAAAAAATATTGATTCGCCAGAGAATTTCCCTCCAAGACGAATAGGAAATATTCTGTTCACAGCAGACGGGTTGGGGAAACCATCAAAGCCGTTTTAATCGCGATGTGCCACAGATGTTCGCCGTCTATACCACTGTTCGGATAAACAAATGCTACTTGATTTCATATCTAATTTTCAAAACAAATGCATCGAAACGACATGAGAACTGCTCGTCCATGAAAATCAAAACATCCACCTGAATAGACAAAACAATAACTCATCTTACAATAAAAAAGATTGTTGCACGTATCCTGATCACAGTAGAATAATTCTGTGAAGTCATACTCAAGCTTGTAGAATGGTCAGGTGCAGTGGTTGAGAGTGGGGTGGAGCAACCATTCACAACAAGACCCGTGGTTTAGTCATTTTCTATGCCTTAAGTATAGTGACTATGAGACTGCTATTACATGAGCTTACGGGCTGACAGCCAACTGGACTGGTCAGTGTGACGCGGGACGCTACAACCTGAGACGTTGTGCTTCTTGTACCCGTGATCTTTTATCCCTTTGCTTTGCACGATAAAATCTTTCAGACCCTCACTTTGTACACGACTCCGGATGTACCCTTTCAAAGCCCAGCAGAGTGCTCGCTGTCTTGTATGAGACGATTAGTGAATCTGATCATACATCTTTCTGTGATCTCAGTCACATTTGCTGCCAGTAGCCCGAACAGACAAGGACGGCCCTGAACAGGTTTGTGTGGAGCCAGACGTTACCCTCCCCACCCCCCACTGGCCTAACTGTATTCCGCAACATCACCAAGTCATACGCAGTCAAGAAGAGTGTAATTCAAACTCGTATGTATGACAATATGCAGGCGAACTTTGCGCAGCCTGGTTCACTTTAGAACCCTCCCTTATCACTCGAATTCCTGATCCTATTTTTCTCACCGTCTTGGACATTAAGGCAAACTGCCAATCAAAAGCTATTGGATGTGCTCCAGCTTGAGACTATTCAATCTTATATTATGGTTTTTAGTTTGTAATCAACTTTCCGTTTATGTAGAACATTAGGACTGTGAAATCGTGCTTCCCCATTACCTTACAGTGTGTGTGTGTGTGTGTGTATGGTGATTTCGACGTCGCCTGGTTCAATACAGCTGTCGATGAGTGCGGTTACGAGTGCAAGAGAACGTATTCGTCCTCAGTGATGTTCTTGAATGTCAATGACAGACCATTTGGCCCGTAGCTTCTCGATAAACCTCGGCTATTGTCTTCGTTGTCTTGGGGTTCGTCTGTACCTTATCTATTGGCGGTCATTTTGGAGAGTCGATAAAGCATTCATAGTGCTATCACTATTGTTTCAGCAATCGCATTCTGCTTTTTACGATCAAACGAATCTTTCTCACCCAGGCCGTATGCACAAGGGCGAATTCCACCAAAAAAGAACTGCGGTTATGTTTTGTTTAACGCGTAACAGACGATTATTTGCCTCTTAATCAACCACCTTATGACGAGCTCGTACACTTCGACAGTGTGCCGGGTTAAGGAACGTCATGCCTAGAAGCTGTGGAAATCAGAACCCTTTGTTAGATTGTATGTAACTTGACAAAAGCACTCTATTTGAATGGTCGGTGCCTTCGCACAAGGAAAAATCAATTGGGATGAATAGAACGAGAGTAAAAGTAGAAACGTAGTTCGATCTGCAGGAACATTTCATCACATCCCATCGAGAGGGCCTACTGTGTGTGTGTGTGTGGTGAGGGGGCCGTGAGTGAAAGTAGAAACGTAGTTCGATCTGCAGGAACATTTCATCACATCCCATCGAGAGTGCCTACTGTGTGTGTGTGTGTGTGGTGAGTGGTGCCGTGAGTGGTGACACACAAAGACACCCACGTTCTATACGTCGTCCCGCAAAAATAGTCTTCAAAACAGTTTGGTCTCAAGTCTAACTATGGCGTCACATAGTCATGACTCATGCTGGATTGCGATCAGATATCACGAACCTTCTCCATACAAACATGAACACGTGTCCCATGAGAGCACAAAACAAGACGATGTCATTTGGACCTCAGATATTGTGTAGGTGATAACAGTCTACACATCATAAGTAATGGAGGGGAAAAGCTTCCTCAGCCAGGCTCATGTAAATGGTTGGTTCAAGAGAGTAATCTCAGAATTTCATTTGATGCCTTCACTGAGTCCATAAGGATCCTGGGGTGGAGAACTATCCCGTTCTTCCTCAGAATCAGCTGAACACACGGCTGCGTATTTCAGGACGTCAAGAGAATCAAGAGTCGAGTTCGGCTGCTCGGACGGGGTTGTAAGATGCTCATCTGTTCAGACTTCTGCAGGATCTGGATGTCAAAGACTGGTAACATTAAAGTAACCCTCCTTTGGTAAGGTCTACACCCAACAGGCCTCCGTAAACTTCGTGTGTGTGGGACAAGCCACTTAGCAAAACACCGTCAGGAATAATGATTCCAGTGGAACAAAGCTGATAGTCACGTGTCCATTCCATAATACCTTTGCAACTCAATACGTTTCAACAACAGCTCAGGCAAAACTACGGTTCTGGCACTATGAGGGGAAAATCCAAATGACGCTTTGTCAAATGAACCATGATTTGATTTTGCCTACCTATGTGTTGTCCCTGGTTTCGATGTGCCCGAACAATCACGTCTGTTTACGGGGTCAATAGAGAACAAAGAACAATCGCAACAGTAACTGTCGGAACAACAAGGACAGCAGCAATCGAACTGGTCAGCAGCGCTAACCCGACGG